TTTATTTAAATCCCTTTATCCTGAAAACTTTCTATTCAGGGACCGTAGAAAGTGTTTTGACTCAAGGTATCTCAGTGTGGTATGGAAACAGCTCAAACCAAGACCGCAAAGCACTTCAAAGAGTTGTGCGTTTAGCTGAGCGCATCTCAGGGTCTGCTTTCCCCTCCTTGCAGGACATCTATATTAAACGCTGTATGTAGGGTTGTAACGGTATGAATTTTTCACGGTATGATAATCGTCTAAAACAATACCACGGTTTGACGGTTTCGCGGTATACGGTATGTTACAAATGTTACAAAATAATAGAACAGTGAAGCAAATTTGACTTTTTCCAAATAATATATTTTTAGTTACTATAAACAACACCACTTACAATGAACAAATAAAAATAAGAAAATAATAAATAATGTGTCAAAGTCCAAATAAAGTCCAAATAAACATGGTGCAAATCCTCAGTAAAACATAGATATAAATATTTACTATACTATAAATAGTTACATAACGAAACTAGATTCAATATGGAACATCCTTAGGTTTTATGTGCCAGCATGGATATGGATGTCTATCGATATGGATTTGGATATGGTTGTCTGCAATGCAGACAAACAGCTGCATCTTCATTTGCGTCTTTTGAAAACAGCAAGAGCAGCAGTTCGTCTTTGCTGTGTCACTGTTTTGTCATGTTTCTGTGCTGCTGTGCATGCAAAAGTACTTAGTATGAGAATTATTTCATTTTTTTTTTTGCGTTTTATTTAGCCGCGCATAAATGTATGCCTTTCTCTCATTCCGTGTTGTTCAAAAAGCTTGGTCCACAAACAAAAGCGAAACCTATGCTTATTGGTTGTGATATAGCGAGTTTGAACCAATCTGGGCATGGAGGAGGGACAATGCATCAATGTATCATGTCTGATTTGTCCGGAGACACAGTGACGAGCGTTTCTTTGTCAAATCAGCGTTGTCAAATGTTGATGACGTAAGCGCACTGATTCCGGCGCCTCTGAAAGTCCGCGAATGTTATGTGATACAGCACTGTAAAGCTGAGACTCTCTTCTTTATGCCAATCTTTGAATTGTATGAATCGGATCAGCGGATCAAAAGTTATTAAACATTTAAGAGCAATACTTATTTTTAGCCGCGGGCGCCTGTCTCGGTCTTCAAGGGTTAAAACCGTTGATATGCAATTGTTCATGGTATGATAATCGTGCACGTTCAAATCGTGGTAAACCGTCATACCGGTATATTGTTACAACCCTAGCTGTATGAATAGAGCTGTTAAAATCTGTAAGGACTTAAACCATCCTGACAATTATCTATTCACTTTGCTTCCATCTAGGAAACGATTTCGTAGCTTGATGGCAAAAACTGAGAGACTTAGGAGGAGTTTCTTTCCCAAGTCCATCAGGCTACTAAATTCTAACCCGGTGTTACACATTACGTGATTTTTTCGTATTTATCATTGTAGTAGTCATATTCATAAGTACATCATATTGCTGCTATTCTATTACCTTGTATAATTTTTTGCACATCTTTTTTTTTTGCACGCTTTTTCTTTTTTGTCTTTTTCCTTAATATTTAATTTTTTGTTTATCTATACTTGCACTATCTCTGGAGCGGACCTGACCTACATTTTACTGCTGGTCATACTTTGTATAACTATGTATGTGACAAATAAAACTTGACTTGCTTGCTTGCTTCTTCTAATGTATTATTTTATTACATTCTATATTTTATTATATAATTATAATCCTGATTCAATATTGCACATACTCTCAATGTAACTATTGCGAATGATCACATTGTGATATCAATGCTGGAACGATAGATTGTGCAGCGCTAGTTATTTTGTATTGTTTCTAAATCTACATAAAAATAAGACTAAGCCAGTTATCGATACTAACCAAAAGCAAGATTGCATCATTTTAAATATTTCAGTTTTGATATTTTTGACAACACTAATATATATGTAGGTAGGGAAAATTCACCCATAATTGAAAATTGTGCCTTCATTTTTTCAACCTTCGAAAGTCACAAACCTGAGTTTCTTTTTTCTGTTGAACAGAAAAGAAGTTCTTTTAAAAAATGTCGTAATGCAAGTCAATAGTCACTGATTTCCAGTTTCTTTCAAAATATATTCAGTGCATTTAAAACAATGAAACTCATTAAGGAACTCAAGCGGGTTTGGATTTGTATCTCTTTAAGTCACTATTTACCATTTTGTTTACCTATTAGTTACATAATAGTAAAATAAATAATGTATGTCCCTTAAGTAATGAGACCACAAGACTGCACTGCATGTATGATAATTACACTAGGAAGGTTATAGATCTGAAATTTCATGGCAACTACCCATATATTACATGTGGAAAGTGAAAGTGCAAATTTTCAGGAACTATAATATAATTTTAGGAATTATAAATCATTTGTATTTATTTGTTAACCTACACAAGTAGTGACAGATAAATCATAGGAAAATCACCAAGGCTTACAAAAAACAATACTTTATTGCTGTCATTTAACAAAATGCATCAAATTATAGTAATATTACAGAGTAAAAACGTCAAATACTGTAAACAGTGGTTAGGGTAAGGAAAAGTTCAGTTGTCGCACATGGATTTCAAAATAAAAGTCTGATATAAGCTCACATAATAAGTCTCACATAATAAGTTATAAAATAAAATTTTGTTGTTTTTTTGACGACACACTCCGCGACCCACTGAAAATGTTCCCGCGACCCACTTTTGGGTCACGACCCACCAGTTGAGAAACATTGCTATAGTGTACACACACTAACCTTCTCACACAATGTCTAATCATTTAAACAAATCCAAATGATTAAAGGGATAGTTCACCACAATAAAAACATTCACATTTTTACACTTATGGTTTTAAACCTGTATTAGGTAATAAAAAAAATAAATTATATTTTGAAGCTTGACTGTCGTAGTACGCTTTAAAAAACAAATATTTTTGCTGCTTGTTCTAACTCATTTTAGATTATCTGACATAACACTATTCTTGAGGGATTTTGGGGACAACTTAATTGTGTTATGTCCAATCAACTTAAAACTGCAAAAAATCAAGTTAAATTAACCGATTTTTGTTGGGAGGACATTAGGATTGTGTGTAACCAAGCATTTTTACAATATAAGAAAAACGAATACTATACATGTCAATGGTTACAGGTTTTCAGCTTTTTTTTTAACTTAAAATATCTTCTGTTTTCAAAAGAAGAAACTTAAACGTGTTTGGAACTAGTGGAGATTGACCAAGTTAACATTAAATGATGACTATTGTCATTTAGTGAGATAAAGTTGGTTTTATATTCTCAAATTTATACTTTCTCCTTAATATTATAATTTCAAAAAAATATTATTTGCAAAATTCTAAATAGTGAATCATATTAGCAGCCAATAAATGTCAAAATATAACTGTTCACTGTCAAATAAATAGTGCTAATGTTGTTTTCAAGTTATACTTGCATGTAATTTCAGACTGAATATTCAAAGTACCATGGCAAACAACATAGGGAGCATAATTGACTATGCGAAATCACTAATTTAATATGCGAAATATTAAAAAAAAAAAAACTTTACCTCAATCACTTAAAAATTTATATTTTGCTGCTTGTTTTAACTAATTTAAATTATCTGACATAACACTATTCTTGAGGATTTTTTGGGACAACTTAATTGTGTAATGTCCAATCAACTTAAAATTGTAAAAACCTTCAAGTTAAATTAACCAATTTGTGTTGGGAGGACATGATGATTGTGTGTAACTCAGCATTTTTACAATGTAGGAAAAATGACTACTATAGAAGTCAATGGTTACAGGTTTTCAGCTTTTTTATTTAAAATATCTTCTGTTATCAAAAGAAGAAACTCAAACCTGTTTGGAACTAGTGAAGATTGACAAGGCAAGAAAGGTCCCGACTTCTGCCAGAAAAGGCAAACATGTTGATTTTTCTCCAGTTTAAAAACTGACAGTCATTTTCCTTCAATCTATTGTACATTCTTTTACAGGATTTTTATCTATTTATTTGTTTTACAATTATTGGTTTCATTTTATTTTACAATAAAAACGTAATAATAATATATAGGGTTTTAATTATGTTCAATTTGATTTTGTACAAAAAAAAAACACAACAAAATATACCGATAAGAGAACCGTTAAAGTATCGAACCTATAAGTGGTATCGATTAAAGTAGTACTATCGTTAAAACCTTAACAATACCCATCCCTAGTCACGTATAAAATTTAATAGAAATTGTATTTTTCCCACTTGTTGAGCGTTGTCCTTATAAAAGACTTCAATATGGGAGAAAATGCTTAACGTGATGTTTTTCACTTTATCTTTGAATTAGGACTTTATTTTTTTTTATTTTTTTTTTTTTTTTTACAGTAGTTGGGGTTAATTACAAGTATACAGGTAAAGTTGGTTTTAAATTCACACATTTGTTCATTTAGCAGTCTCTATATTGTTTAATATGTTACTTTGAATTTTCGATCCGAATTAGCATGCAAGTATGACTTGTAAACAACATTAACACTAATTTACTGTAAACAATTTTGTACTTTAATAGTCATTTGCTGCTCATATGATTTCCCTATTTAGAATTGGCAAACAATACTTTCCTGAAATTATATTATTAAGGAGAAAGTCTGAATATCCTAATATAAAACCAAATTTACCTCTAAATTACAGGTAACGTTTGACAGAAATTTGGGTTTCTCTGGTTGATGTTTAGGTACATTGAGCCACGTTAAGCTTTTTTCACATTAAGTGTTTCAGAATGTCCTACTAGGTTAACATTAAATGATGACAGTTTTCATTTTGGGTGAACTATTCCTTTTAATTTTCTAACATCTTGCTGCTAATTAACAGAGATATCATTAGCTATTAAAACGTTCCAAGAAAAAAAACATGTATTTTAGCAGGCAACAACCGATCAATTAAGATTAAACACGTACTTTAATGATAATAAAATAGCAAGTCTTACCTGGCAGTGTGTGTAACAGCTTATATAAATAGAGAAGATCGAATAAGCTGGATCAGCTTCCCAGCATTTGATCTAGAGGTGTCCGGTCACTTAAGATGTAAACTCAATGTAGAGAGTTTACAATGTTTTATGAACATTTTATAATCCATAACCCACACTAACATCACAGTCACGACTTCCACGAGGCGACACCAACCCACTTCTTCTCCAGACAGAAACTAACGCGTTAAACAACTTAAACGACGTTAAATGTGAATATAATGTCTTTATTCTAGCTTTAATGATTTTAAACACTCTAGTATCCGAGTCATAGCTCCGACAGGACTTTTTCTCGAGCTCAATGTCACAGACACAAGCGGCAACCCTCGACTGCCCCAAACCCACTGCAATCCTCCACTACACTAGACCGGGCGGCGTGACCACGTGATTGATCCACCAAGCTGGAATGCGTACAACGTAACAGATAAATTATGTATATTTAAACAATGCGTACCGTGTAATCGCATTAGTATATCATATTTAAGATTTCATTTTTTATATATATCTATACCAGTAATTTTTATCTCTCTGAATGAGACAAATTGCATCATTCTTAATAATCCCGCCCCAAAGACAATTCAGCCAGTCATATTCGAGCAATTCCGAATACGCAGTTAGATTGACGTGAGACTAGCGATTCTGATTGGTTTAGAAAAAAGAAGGCGGACCCACTTGACAATTTAGCTGTCAAGAGCAAATGTTTATTATTTATTCCTCAATATTCATGCATTTAAAAAGTAATGATATATAATCTATATATCTTTACAACCTCGAAACGCTGCAATCAGATGAAACATTCACATAATCATACCTTTCACTTATGTAACGTTGAGTGTCTTTTCTAACATTAACGTTACCAGCACGAAATTAAAGGACATTTTTAAACTACAAACCTGACGTGCACAGCAACATCTTCACATATAAGTCAATACAGTTGATTTTATAAGCAAATATGTTTACCAGTAGGAACGTAGGATGTATTATATCTTATGACAATCCTCAAGCATGTTGATCCAGCGATGTCATCGCAACATATATTAATGAAATCCTCCTCTGGAAGAGCTTTCCAGATCACAGCTTTTGTTAAAGCATTTACAGGATAAGCGAAACCGAAACAAGACCCGCAACAACGCCTAACCCTAACGAACTGCTCATAAGCGTTTGACCATCAAAAGTGGGTGTGAAAGCAGTGCTTCCATTATCTTCACGTAAGAAGCATAATTTGTGAATAAATGTGATGAGTATTTACCTTTACGTTCAGTATAAATATCCGTACTTAGCAAGGTATTCCATATCTAACGTTACATAAGAGCGGAGTGATTATTTGGTCGCCATTATCTTAGCATTAGCTTCCAACGGCGGGTAGATGTATTACGTCATGTACATGCGACGTTTGTTGTTGTTGTTTTTTGCTCCACGCGAGGGCGCTCAGTATTCATTCGTTCATTTTCTTTTCGTTTTTTTTTTTCGCTTAGTCCCTTTTTTATCAAGGGTCACCACAGTGGAATGAACCGCCAACTTATCCAGCACGTTTTTACGCAGTGGATGCCCCTCCAGTCGCAACCCATTTCTGGGAAACATCCACACACACTCATTCACACACACACTCATACACTACGGACAATTTAGCCTAGTAGCCGGGGAAAACCCATGCGAACGCAGGAAGAACATGCAAACTCGACAAAGAAACGCCACTGCGTCGCTCCGGGCGCTCAGTAGTTCATAACAAAACATCTTGAAGGATGAGTTTCCAGATGCTTTTCTGGGATTTTTACAGCCCTCAGATTTTTGTCGACATTCTTTACATGCATGTTGCAGTAAGGAAAAACAAACATGGAACTGCGTTCAAAAGTCAAAAAAAGGTAACGGTTTTCCCAAATTTAATTATGTATGTCCTTATACTTATCATTGTTTATATGAACACATATACAACATTATAGCTAATATATTCTAACATATATTTAAAATTCGAATGATTGAAAATGATTAAAAGCGGCCATTTTTGCAATATTTCATAATATATGTGGCATTTATGACATATTTTAAATATGTGAAATCCAAAGATGAACGTGTATGTTTAATCACTTCCTTTCGGCTTAGTCCCTTTGTTCATCAGGGGTCACCACAGTGGAATAAACCGCTAACTTGTCCAGCATGTGTTTTACACAGCGAATGCCCTTCCAGCTGCAACCCAGTACTAGGAAACACTCATTCACACACACCCTCATTCCCACACACACACACACACACACACACACACACACTACGGCCAATTTAGTTTATTATTTCCTTAATTTCTCTTTGGCTTAGTCCCTTTATTTATCAAGTTTCACCACAGTGGAATGAACCGGCAACTTATCTAGCACGTTTTACACAGCGAATGTTCTTTCTAGCTGCAACACAGTTCTGGGAAACACCCATACACACTCATTTACACACACACATACACTACGGCCAGTTTAGTTTATTAATTAATTCATTTATTTCCCTTTGGCTTAGTCCCTTTATTTATCAGGGGTGGCCACAACGGAATGAACCGCCAACTTATCCAGCATACACCGCGGATGTTCTTCCAGCTGCATCCCAGTTCTGGGAAATACACACACACACACACACACTACGGCCAGTTTAGTTTATTAATTAATTGATTAATTTCCCTTCGGCTTAGTCCCTTATTTATCAGGGGTTGCCACAGCGGAATGAACCGCCAACTTATCTAGCATATGTTTTACACAGCGGATGCCCTTCCGTACTGGAAAACACACACACACACACAGTACGAACAGTTTAGTTTATTAATTAATTTCCCTTCAGGTTAGTCCCTTTATTTATCAGGGGTCGCCACAGCGGAATGAACTTATCCAGCATTTGTTTTACACAGCGGATGCCCTCCCAGCTGCAACCGGGCACTGGGAAACACCCATACACTCTCGCATTCACATTTATACACTACGGCCAGTTTAGCTTATTCAATTCACCTATATTTAGCGCATGTCTTTAGGCTGTGGAGGAAAATCGGAGCACCCGGAGGAAACCCACGAGAACATGGGGAGAACATGCACACAGAAATGCCAACTGACCCATCCAGAACTAAAATCAGTGACCTTCTTGCAGTGCTAACCACTAAGCCACCGTGTCGCCCCTGAACATGTATGTCACACATGTAATTTGCCTTTATTGCCAAATATCACATTTCTATCAGGTCCAACAATCTTTTTTTCTTTTCAGTTTTATTGTGTTTTCCTCCATAAATTGTGACATGATGATGAATCCATTAAGATGAATCTCAAAACAAGCAACATCAAGCAGTTAGAAAACAAACCACACACTGTTTTCAAACGTCAGCACCGATTGCTTGAGTGGCATCAAAAAAAAAAAAACCTCAAACTTGTGAATGTCAAAGCAAAGACAGTTACAACGTAGAAGTCATCTGTATGGGGAAAAAAAATCCCTTCGATACATGACAATAAATAAATGAGTAAAACGGCATTGCATAGCGATCTGTCAAAATGCTTTCAACATTCATCAGTCAGAAAAAATTATCAAAAAAAACAAACATGGGAAATATATACACACTGGCGTATTCAGAAACGTAAGGCACTTTGCTCAATTCAGTCTTCTCAATTCAAAGCAAATTCAAGTTTCCGTTAAACACAAGTTCAAGGGTCTACAAATGAGACGGCGATGTATCGGACCCCCTCGGTGGTGGGCAGACCCTCGTGGTAATGGGTGAGGCGTCCCGGGTGCATGAAAGCCCAGCCCTTCCTGGGAGACCTAATGGAGCAGTCGTACCTCAAGAACCGACAGCCTCCACCCTGAACACAACACAAAGCCATTGACAGTTAATAGACTACTATTATTCTCTTCAAAGTCATGACAACTCAAAGTTATGTCATTCCAAACCCGTATCATATTTTAAAAAATAAGGAAAAACAAAAACTTTCATTCAGTAGTCAAATCTCATTCCCTTTTTCTTTACTGTGTAAATGTTTTCATTACTTGTTCGATTAACCTTTGTGCAGCAATTAATTTTTTTTACTAGTAAGTCCAAAGTGAAAATGTCCAAAAAAATATAAATATTTTACTACTTTCACTAATGTCCATTTTTTTCAACAGCATCAGTTCTAATCATAACAAAACTTAAACTTAAATGATTTCAGCAAATGGCTGCAATATAACAAAGAGTGAAAAATGTAAAGGGGTCTGAATGTTATTCCGTACCGACTATATATATATATATATATATATATATATATATATATATATATATATATATATATATATATATATATATATATATATATATATATATATATATATATATATATATATATATATATATATATATATATATATATATATATATATATATATATATATATATATATATATATATATATATATATATATATATATATATATATATATATATATGTATACACACACACACAGTTGAAGTCAGAATAGCCCCCCTGATTTATTAGCCACCCTTTTTATTTTTTTTCCCCATTTTCTGTTTAATAGAGAGCAGATTTTTTCAGCACATTTCTAAACATAATAGTTTTATTAACTCATCTCTAATAACTGATTTATTTTATCTTTGCCATGATGACAGTAAATAATATTTGACTAGACATTTTTCAAGACACTTCTATACAGATTAAAGTGTCATTTAAAGGCTTAACTAGGTTAATTAGGTTAACTAGGCAGGTTAGGGTAATTAGGCAAGTTATTGTATAATGACGGTTTGTTCTGTAGACTGTCAAAAAATATAGCTTAAAGGGGCTAATAATTTTGACCTTAAAATGTTGTTTAAAAAAATTAATAACTGCTTTTATTCTAGCCAAAATAAAACAAATAAAACTTTTTCCCGAAGAAAAAATATTATTAGACATACTGTGAAAATTTCTTTGCTCTGTTAAACATCATTTGGGAAATATTTAAAAAAGAAAAAAAAATCCAAGGGGGGCAAATAATTCAGACTTCAACTGTATATATAGTTGAAGTCAGAATTATTAGCCCTTGTTTATTTTTTTTACCCATTTTATGTTTAACGGAAAGAAGATTTTTTTAACACATTTCTTAACATAATAGTTTTAATAACTCATTTCTAATAACTTTTTTTATCTTTGCCATGATGACAGAAAATAATATTCCACAATATATTTTTGAAGACACTTCTATACAGATTAAAGTGACATTTAAAGGCTTAACTAGGTTAATTAGGTTAACTAGGCAGGTTAAGGTTATTAGGCAAGTTATTGTATAACGAAGGTTTGTTCTGTAGACTATGGAAAAAATAACTTTAAGGGGCTAATAATTTTGACCTTAAAATGGTGTTTAAAAAATTAAAAACTGTTTTTATTCTAGCCGAAATA